GTGTCTTTGTTTTAGAACGGGGGTGTCCAAGTTTGGCCGCTTTTAAGAGGGGAGGGCTTCCACTCCCAGAATCCCCCAGCCAGGATGCTTTAAGAGGGGAGGACTTCCACTCCCAGAATCCCCCAGCCAGGATGCTTTAAGAGGGGAGGGCTTCCACTCCCAGAACCCCCCAGCCAGCCTGGTTTAAGAGGGGAGGACTTCCACCCCCAGAATCCCTCAGCCAGGATGCTTTAAGAGGGGAGGGCTTCCACCCCCAGAATCCCCCAGCCAGGAGGCTTTAAGAGGGGAGGACTCCCACTCAGGAGGCTGGCTGGGGGATTCTGGGAGTGGGAGTCCACTGCTTTAAAGCTTGCTTGCTGGGGAGCGGCCCTAAAACAGGGACTTATGACCAATTTTGCACAGTTACGACGGTTGCAGCCTCCCTGTGAAGCGTCACACGAACCAAATGTGGACGCTTGGAAGCTGACCGATACTTAGGATGGTCCTTTCGCCACTTTCTGGCAAGCCAGCTGAAGAGGGGAGCCAGACTCACTTAACAACCCACAGCAGTCACTTAGCCGCTGATTGAGCGATCCACCTAACGACTGTGGCAAGAATGGTCATAAAACGGAGCAAAACTCCCTTAACCCTCTCCCTTGAGCGACAGACATGCTGGGCTCAGCTTTGGTCATAAGCCAAGGACTCCCATTCAGCTGAACCTTGTGGGAGAAGGACACCTTTTCTGTCTTTTATGCCCGACTTCCAGCGTGGGGAGGGTCTCCTTTGGCCATAAGGGGGGGGGGGGGGGCTCTGCTGTTTCGTTCCCCCACCCCTTCCAAGCGTGAGACCCCTTTTCTCCGGTGCAGGCTCAAGACATTGAGACCCTGAAGAAATTCCTGCTCAGCAAGAAACCCCACGTGGTGGTCATTGCGGGAGAAAACAGGTAAGCTTCCGACCGACCAGTCGGGGAACCCTCCCAGCAAGGCCCTGAGTTCAGATCCCCCCCAGGCAGGTTTTTAATTCTCCGCTCGCATAAAAGACCCGCCTTTCCCTTGTTCCACTCTGGGAGAAGCTGGCGGGGGGGACACGGCCCCTCCTGGGAACGTCTGGAAGGGCCCTTTTCCCACCGGAGGGCCTCCCTTCCGCGCAAGGCTTTTGGCCCCTCCGTCCTTAACCCTCTTAGGTGTTTTAAAAAAAGAATTTGCCCTTCCTTTTCTTTCTATACTTGAGGGAGCAGGGATACAGGAAGTCCTTGACCTATGACCAGTGGCTTATGAGGAAACTAACTTGGGGCTACTTATGACTCAGATTCAAAGTTTGGACAATCTCTGTCTCT